TTTTTTCTTTGGGGGGGGTGGTGACGTTCTTGTGTGCACACTTCTGTTTTTAGGGTTGTTCTTTTGTGTTTGTAGATTTCAGTGGTGTTCTTTTGTGCATGTAGATTTCAGTGGTGTTCTTTTGTGCATGTAGATTTCAGTGGTGTTCTTTTGTGCATGTAGATTTCAATGGTGTTCTTTTGTGCATGTAGATTTCAGTGGTGTTCTTTGTGCATGTAGATGTCAGTGATGTTCTTTTGTGCGTGCCGTACTTAGGGGTATCAGAAGAGAATGAAATGTTTGCGGCAACCATTGATATCGCAATGATGAACATTTAAGTTCATTTTATTTGTTTCACGTCAGTGTACACCTTGTGGAGATATCTAGGGATTTACATATAGTTAAAATCACTTCTTTGAAATTTATATATGTTTAAGAGCTTTATATATATCCTAATCAATGATTAAATGGACACCTGAAACCATAACATGATCTCTTACTTACCCACCTAGCACGCGATGTCCCAGCATAATGGTTCCACTTCTATTTCCAGGTCATTCGGTTCTTCCTGATCAACTCCCATTATCCCATTGGAATTGGCGTTTTTCAACCGGACCTTGGAATTAAATACGTGGAAATGACCTGTTTTGTCCCCGCGGCCCATCTCGTCGCCTTCTGGTCGTGTTGCCTCATCCTGCTGTTCACTTGCTCGGTGTACGCCTTCAAGACCCAGACGCTGCCTCACAACTTCAAGGAGAGCCGCTACGTGTCCATGTGCATCATCACGACTCTTCTCATGTGGGCTGTTTTCATACCCTCTTACGTCATGAGCACGCGCAAACAGCTGCGCATCAAATTTCTGATCCTCGCAATGCTCATCAACCACACGATGGCCCTCTTGTTTTTGTTCTTGTCACGCATCTTGGCTCTGCGGGAGAACTCTAGAAGAAGAAACAGTTATCTGTTTGCCTAATTCGTTTGTCTTGAGGAGACCTCACAATGCGTGATAAAAATGTAAAAAAAAAATAATAATATTAACTGTGAGAAAAATCTGAAATAAAGGCAGCAGTGTCTCACAGGGAATTACTGGTGCCAAACTTTCGGTCTGACTTTACACATGACCACAGGTTTTGTATAAGTTTTTATATATAAAGATGTAAATATTATATATTTTGAATATTGGTTTAAAAAAGGCGTGCTCTAAATGTCTTTTCTTGTTATTTAGTTTTGTTACGTGCATGTTCATTGATGGGAGCCACAGACCGTTATAAATGCATTATTTGACCCCCCCCCCAATTTTTTTTTTTTAAAAACCTAATAATAATATCCAAACTGTTTGTAATTACTCATATAATTTTTACACAAAATAATCCTACAACAAAATCCAAATACAATAATTAAAGCTGAATTACTTCCACGTGGCTAAAAGTCCATAAAAGAAACAAAAAAATCTTTAAATTATTTCAATTTCTCGTTAGAGAATTTTTTTTTCTTCTGGTTTCTGAAAAAAAAATTCAATAACTCGCAATTTTTCCCTACTCTTGT